GGGGAGGTGCGGGGCAGAGGGCCAGCGGCTGCTCGTGGGGGCACCGGAGGTGTAAACTGAAATCAAAAGCTGACGAGCTCCCTCCTTGAGAAAAACACGAGCTGGTGAGCGCCCTGCTCCTGCCTACCGCGGCCGAGCAATGTGTCTTGAAGATAACTGAGGGGGAGCAAGTTGTTCCCCTATGCCCCTGCTCTAAGCAAGGCAACCATTTCAGGGGGTATTAGTTGCAGTACCCCTACCTTTTTTGGTTTTAGTTGAATTCTTTGTCTCATCGTGGAGTGTAGAGAAGACGTCAGTTCATTTTAAAAAAGAAAGTCAGCAGGAGTGGGAGGCGGGTCTTGTTTCCTGAGACACTTTGCTCCTGTAGATTTTTAATTATTTTCTTATAAAACATGCTCACTGCCTTTACAAAAAATTCACAGTTAACCAAAACAGGTCTCGTAGGATTTCCAGCTGTAAACTGCTCTTTGAATTGTACGGATTTCTTCTTTTCTGTCTTGCATTCAAGAAATCTGTGTTACTTACAGAGCTATTATTCCATCGTTTCCGTTCTTAGGTCTCTTGTCATCCGCTGCAAAATAGTTATTTGTCTGAACTGTAAGCTGCTTTCAGGAGTTTTTAGGAGAGGATTTGTAATCTATCAAATACAGCAGAATTAAAAGATTTCTGGTTACAGATTTGCTAGCATTATTAAAGCCTTAACCAGTTATTAAAGCTGAGGCATACATGCCTGCTTGCAGTTACCTTCCTGCTTTTTTTTTCTGCCTGTAGATTTATATTTACCTGTTCAGTCTTTCGCTTTGATTCTCACACTGTAGCAGCGGCAGCCTTCCAAAATGCCATGCTGCGGTACGTGATGTATACATTTACTTACACTTTCTTTTCTTCTAGCTGTAGTGGATTAGGGATGAGTCGTTTGTTTTATGGGACAGGATAATACTGGTCGAGAATCAGTTTCAAGGGTGGCCACCGGCAGGACAGTGGTTTGCCTGGTTCAGCACGGACACTGGGCTTGCTTGCCGGTGCGGGAAGCAGAGGCGCATTGCTTTAATGCAGCACCCTGCTATTTCGGGGATGGAGGTGCAGCAGCAGGGGCCTGTAGGCACCTTTGCTTTGCACCTACCGACTCTGTACCCACGTCTAGCAATCGCTGCTCAAGCCTGCCTGGGAGCTTGGGTTTGAGGGGGAGAAATTATCCTTACATTTGAACATCCAATCTAAAATGCATGAGGTACACTAGCATCACTGGTTTATTCTTATTTGGAGCTTATAGGGTATAGGGTCTGAGCCCCAGACTGGAGTCTGAATTTTTGATAATACAGCTAAATCTTCCTAGGCAACTCAAAGATTAACAGAGGGAGACGACTGGCCAAAGTTCAGAGGATCTGGAGTGGTCGTGGGTGATGTGAACCACCGGGCAAAGTGTTTGTCCATATTGTTCCACTTCAACCATTTTCCAGACATGCTGGGTTTGGAGCATCAGATGCAGGCAGGCGTAACTGCATACATGTCTGAAACTTACGCCTTATTATTGCATTGCTTTTCTTACATATATATACTTTAGTCTGGAGGAGTAGAAAAGGAGCAGATAACTGCCCATTTCAGAACTGCAGGGGCTTTGTTGTTGTTTTCATTATCTATTTTTGTATCCTGCTGCTTGCAGCAGCTGATCAGATAAAAAAGTGAGAGAGATGTATTATTATTTTTTTTTTTCATGCTTTAGGAGCTATACATATATAAAAGCATGAAAAACATCTTCCTCCTCATTCCTGGAAAATCGG